GTGACGAAGATGTCTTTACGCACAAAGTAACACTGGCTCAGTGTATTTATACCACTTCCGAGATACACAATAAAAATGATATAAAAGAAATACAGGAGTCTGACACTGACTTCCTAACTTTTAACAAAATATAGTAAATCCGCCACTGACGTCCTAACTGAGAATTCAACACTGCAAACCAATCCCTGAATGAGCCACACTTCCTTGAAAGCTCTGGCAGCACTGCTATGAAAGTGCTTACGAATATTTCCTCCTCTAACTTCTCAAAACAAAGCTGACCTCTATTGGCTCACCAGGTCATAAACAGTCATATCTAAACGTAAATAGTTTCGAAACCAGTACCCTGATAAACGATTTCATTGTTCAGAGCTAACAAATAAACATCTGACATGAACGTTCATGAGTTTGTTTGGGTTTCAAACCCAAGGTCAAACTGCCAGCACTCACAAAGGAAGCACGTGGCTTGTCCCTACAAATTATAACATTCGGCCAGCTCGGGGTGCTACTTGATGCGAATAATTATAACATTCGGCCGTTAAAGGTTAACTTCATTACACATACATACTAAAGGTGTTTTTTTTTGTATCAGGTACTGAAATTGTAGTGAAAGGAAAGTAGGTGATTAGTTCTTTTCAGAATTTCTTGGTATTTTTATAATTTTAGAATACAACCTACAGTATCTGCTGTGAAATCTTGAGGTGTGAAGTATTTACTTTTCTTGCTGCAGTCTAGTGTTTGTGCCCCCCCCCCCATTTGCATGAAAGGGGCAATTGTATGTCGCAATCCAAAATGGTAGGTATGTTGAATGTGTAAAATTAAAGTGACAGTTCTACTGTTTCCTAGCTATTAGAATCAGTGATTAGAATCCTTTGAGAACTAGAAATCATATACTACTCTGTCCAAAAAGTATCCGACCTTGGGCTGGGAAAAAAAGTTCTGTATCTGGGTGGTTACAATACCTAATCGCCTTCAAAGTAGGCCCCTTGTGACTCCACACACTTAGCCCAGCGGTCCTTCCATTTCTGGAAGCAATTCTGGAAGGCTTCTTTTGGAATGGTGTGCAGCTGCGCCTATGCGTTCTGTATTACGTCCTCGCGGCTGTCAAAACGGCAGCCTTTTAGTGGTGTCTTCAATCTCGGGAACAGCCATAAATCACAAGGAG